AAAATGAGCCCAAACACGAATAGGCTCCGTCCACTTTAATTTTTCAGACGCGTCGCGGTCGTGCGTCGCGTGTCTAACAGAACTTTTCAAAATGGGCGGAGACTAGTCGTGTTTGAGCTCATTTTGAAGCTCTCAACGTGCTGAATTCGATTTTCTTGATGAAATTCAAAAAATTTCAGTTTAAAGAAAATTTTCACCTGCTTTTTTAAAAAATCAATAGATCAGTGTCATATGAGTTTGTGTTTGAGCATGAAAACAACAAATCTGCCAAATGCAGGTGAAAATTTTTTCCAGAAAATTCGATTAAGTTTTTTTTCCGGCGAAAACAAGCTAATCTAGCCACTTATTTTTAGTCAAAAATAATTTTTTTCTAGAAATTTCTGAAAATGTGCTGGCTCATCGAAATCATCTTTGCCTTCTTGTTTCCGGTAAGTACTGTTGTATGTGTGTCCAGATTTCAAAATTCGAAAATTAAAATTTTTTTTTCGAAAAATTTCAGCCAAAAAACCATTTTCAGCCAAAATAAAAAATTCCAGACGATTTCCACAGTTTTTCAGCTTGAATTTCATCAAAACTTTGAATTCAGCACGTTGAGAGCTTCAAAATGAACCCCATATTGCCTAGGGTCCGCGCATTTTGAATTTTCCTCATGAACACGCGACGCACGACCGCGACGCGCCAGGAAATCTAAAGTGAGCGGAGCCTAGTCGTGTTTGGGCTTATTTTGAAGCTCTCATCAAAGCAAATAAGTAGAACGCAAAGGTGTTCAAAAAATTTTCAATTTTCAGCCAGAAAAGCTGAAAAAACTATATCAAATTCCCAAAAAATGTTTTATGGAATTTTTTTTACTGTATTACCTAAAAACTAAGTTTTTGAGTGTTTTCATGAAACGGGAATTTGAAAATGTTTCAAAATGAGCCCCGTATTGCCTAGGCTCCGCCCACTTTGAAAATTCCCATCGATACGCAACGCACGACCGCGACGCGTCTGAAAAATGAAAGTGGGCGGAGCTTAATCGTGGTTGGGCTCATTTTGAAGCTCTTAACGTCCCAATCTCAATAAAAACAGTTAAAAATGCGTTTAGGAACTTTAAAAATCAAAAAACCGGAAAACTAAACTTTTGGCGACAGACAATTTCCAACCATTTTCAACCAATTTTGGATCAATTTGGCTCACATTTTCTGGAATTTTTTTGCTGAAAAAATCTAAATTCGGATTTTCAGCCAATTTCCGTGCTTCTCACCGATGGTTGTGGGCTCCAGCTGCTCTTCAACGTGCTGCTCACCTGTCTCTTCTACATTCCCGGCATTATTCACGCCCTTTTTCTCATCTGTCGTCATAAAAAATGAAAATAAAGTGCGCTCTATAGACAATTTTCTTTAAATTGGTTTAAAACTGTCAAAATTGGAGAAAAATCAAATTTTTTTTGAAATTTTTTCTCAAAAAATCTGAAAAATTCAAACTTCGCGCTGAAAATCTTACTTTTTCTGAAAATTAGGAATTTCGAATACTTCCAACAAGTTGGAATTCAAAGACGCTTCAAAATGAGCCTGAACACGACTAGGCTCCGCCCATTTTGAAGTTTCGCCGAGATACGCGACGCACGACCGCGACGCGTCTGAAAAATCAAAGTGAGCGGAGTCTAGGCAATATGGGGCTCATTTTGAAGCTTTTTTCGAGCCGAATTCAATAAAAATACTCTCGATTCCTAAATTGTCGAGAAAATATTTAAAAAAAAGGAAAAATTCCAAAAAAGTCATATTTTTTATTTTCTTGAATTATTTTCTAATTTTTTCTCAAATTTTTAGGTCGTTGTGTTTTCTATGGTTTTCAGCGTATTGTTAGCTTCAAAATGAGCCCAAACACGACTAGGCTCCGCCCACTTTGAGTTTTCCCATTGAACACGCGACGCACGAACGCGACGCGCCTATAAAACCAAAGTGGGCGGAGCCTAGGCAATACGGGGCTCATTTCGAAGCTCTGAGCAAGCCGAGTAAAAAATAAATATGAAAAAAATTTTTTTTGAAAATTTTCAAAAAATTCAAATTTCGCGCCAAACCAAAATTTTCAAAACTATGCAAACTCGCTCCAATGCAAATCTCCTATATGCTCAGCTTGAAAATAGCTAAAAATCATGCAATTAAAGCTAAAAAAGCTTCAAAAAAAGCGGAATTTTTCTGAAGAATTCAAATTTCGCGCCAAGCCAAAATTTCAAAAATTCAAAAAAAAGTCTCCATGGAGCACATTTGCACTTTATTCGTGAATTTCTGGTTAATATTAATCAAAATAACAAAAAACGGGGACGAAAAAAGGAAAAAATGAATTATGAAATGGAACAGATCGATAATCGGGTGGGGAAAAGGGGGCGGAGCCTAAAAGGGGGCGTGGCCTACGATGGGATGGGCGAATTGGAAAGCTCTAGAGCAAAAAAATTAGAGAAAAAGTTGAAAAATTTGGCGCCAAATTTGAAAAAATTCAAATTTTGGGGCCAAAAAGGGGGCGGAGCCTATTTTTGTGGTTAAAAATCAATAAAAAGTCAGTTTTACGCGTTTTTTCTATGGATTGGGGGTCAGAAAATCGATAAATCAATAAAAACTCGCCTATTTTTTGAGATAATTAAGGTAATTAGAGGGTGGGGAGGTGCAATTATGCAATTAGGGGTAATTAACTACGGGAAAATCGATTTTAGAGGTTTTCGGGACCAAAAAAGACGATTTTGGGGTCAAAAACGCTCAAAAATCGATATTTTAAGAGGGAATTGTGATTGATTCGCCGTATCTCGCCATGATATACATCAAACTGAGTCCAGAGAACAGGCCGACGGTCTGAAGGAAGAGAACGTAGATTCCGTGGCGGAGAGAGACGTTCAGCGCTTCTTCCATCGCTTTCTTCATTTCTGGCATCTGGAAATTTTAGAAATGTCGATTTTTGAAAAAAAAAAAAAAAAAAAATTTTTTGTTTGGAAAATTTTTTTCTAAAAACCTCAATTTCAGTCAAAAAAAATTTGTTCCAGACAATTTTCAGAGCTAAAACAATCTCAAATTCATATTTAGAACATTTTTTGCTCCAAAATGAGCCCAAACTCGACTAGGCTCCGCCCACTTTAACGGGGATCCTCAAAAGGGGCGTGGCTTAAAAGTGGGCGGCGCCCAATCGAATTTTAGCGCAGTTTTTGAAGCCAAATTTGTTGGAAATTATTAAAATGCTGATTTTTTACATTTTAGTTTCAAAATGAGCAGTAATTCGACTAGGCTCCGTCCACTTTGAAAGGATGCTTTGAAAGTGGGCGTGGCCTAAAGTGGGCGGGGCCTATCTAGTCAAGTTTCGGCTCATTTTGAAGCATGTTTGATTTCAAACGCAATGGAAATATCGACAATTCTTGAATTGTCCAGGAAAAAAGAAAAATTCCAAAAAATTTTTTTTGAAAATTTTCTGGAACTCAAAATTTTCCTTTTTTTTTGCTGAAAATCTGGAAAATTTTTAGAAAATTCTATAGTATTCTTATTTATCTCGCTGAGAGCTTCAAAATGAGCCCCATATTGCCTAGGCTACGCCCACTTTGAGATTTCGCCGAGACACGCGACGCACGACCGCGACGCGCGGGAAACATGAAAGTGGGCGGAGCCTAGGTAAAATGGGGCTCATTTTGAAGCATTTTTCAAGCCAAATTCAATAAAAGCGGTCAGAAATGCATTCAGATCCTTTCGAGACTTAAAAATAAGGAAAAACAAATCATTTCCAACCGTTTCCAGCTCAATTTGGCTGAAAATGGCTCAAATTTTCTGGAATTTTAAAGCTGAGCAATCGTTATCCTCACCATACACGCCAACGAGATGTACAAAAACATGCCACCAGCCAATCCAAACGCATATTTCGATGTATCCGGTCCGAGCTCTCCGATTCCGACGCCAATGAAGAATCCAACGTAGCAGGTGATAGCTGATAAGAGATTATAGACGAGCGCTTGTTTCAGAGACATTCCAGATGCCACCAGTATTGCCACGTCACCTGAAAAATCGAAAATTGGGGTATTTTAGGCCAAAAAACTTTTTTGGCCCAGAAATTTTACGCCACGCCCCTTTTTTGGCTGAAAATCTGGAAAATCATGAAAATTTTCTGAATATTACGTAGTATTCTTATTTGCCATGCTGAGAGCTTCAAAATGAGCCCAAACACGCGTAGGCTCCGCCCACTGATAGGCCACGCCCACTTTTATGAGTCCCCCTGAAAGTGGGCGGGGCCTAGTCGAGTTTGGGCTTGTTTTTTAGCATTTTTGATGACAGTTGACATAAAAATGCTTCAAAATGAGCCCCATATTGCCTAGACCCCGCACACTTTCATTTTTCGGGTGCGTCGCGGTCGTGCGTCGCGTGTCTAGCTGAAAGTTCAAAGTGGGCGGAGCCTAGTCGATATGGGGCTCATTTTGAAGCTCTCAACGTGCCGTATTCAAATTTTGGGGTCCCAAAAGTGGGTGGAGCCTAGGATTCTTAATTTGGAGCAGATTTTTTTTCAGACTTTTTCAGCTCATTTTCAAAATCGTCATTTTCTACCGATTTTTCTGGAACTCTCGGGATTTTCTCGCAAATTTCCCAGTTTTGAAGGGTACTGTAGCTCTCTGGGGTCATTTTAAATCAAAATTTCTTACCCAATTCATGTGGGAATTCCTCACAAAGCACCGCCAACGAAATCGACAATCCAGAATGGATTGATTCGGCGAAAGCGGCGCCAATCGAGATGCCATCGATGAAATTGTGCAATCCATCACCGAATACGATCATCCAGGCCACCGCGGCGATCGCCGAGTCGCCAGCTCGAAATTCGATGGAATGATCGTGGACACAGATTCCGTGGGCCTGAAAAATCGAGATTTTTGCCTTTTCAGTCAAATTTTGCCCTCAAAATGACTCCAAATTCCTTTTCCTATCTTATCATCGTTTTTAAAATGCTCTACGCTTCAAAATGAGCCCCAACACCACTAGGCTCCGCCCATTTTTAGCCACGCCCACCTGTACCCCTTAAAGTGGGCGGAGCCCAGTCGAGTTTGGGCTCATTTTGAAGCAATTTTGATTTCAAATTTAATGAAAATTTTCACAATCCCTCAATTTTCGAAAAAAAAAGCAAAAATTCCAAAAAAAAATTTTTTTCTTGATTTTCAGAATTTTTGAGCTTTTTCTGGCTGAAACTGTGAAATTTTAAAAAAAAACATTGTAATATTGTTATTTGCCTCGCCAAGAGCTTCAAAATGAGCCCCATATCGCCTAGACTCCGCCCACTTTGTTTTTTAGCGGCGCGTCGCGGTGGTGCGTCGCGGTGGTGCGTCGCGTGTCTAGGTGAAATTTCGAAATGGGCGGAGCCTAGTCGATATGGGGCTTATTTTGAAGCCCAGAACGTGCTAAATTCGAATTTGGCGTCAAAAATGGGTTTAAATGCGTACCCACATGTCTAGGCTCCGCCCACTTTAAGGGGTACCGTTTCAAAGTGGGTGTGGCTTAAAGTGGGCGGAGCCTAGTCGAGTTTGGACTCCTTTTGAAGAATTTTCGATTTCCAATTTGGTGGAAATCTGCAGAATCCCTAAATTTTCGAAAAAAAAGCAAAAATTCAAAAAAAAAATTTTTTTTTCTTGATTTTCATATTTTTTGGCTGAAAATCTGAAAATTTCCAATATTTTGATTTTTCATTCCCACCATCATTCTAAGAATGCTCTGCGCTTCAAAATGAGCCCCATATTGCCCAGGCTCCGCACACTATCATTTTTCGGGTGCGTCGTCGCGTCTCCAGCTGGAAATCTCAAAGTGGGAGGAGCCTAGTCGATATGGAGCTCATTTTGAAGCTCTCAACGTGCCGAATTCAAATTTGGGGTCCTAAAAGTAGGCGGAGTCTAGAATTCTCATTTTCAGCGGATGTTGTTTCAGCTTTTTCGAAAAATTGTCATTTTCAGCCAATTTTTCTGAAATTTTCCAGATTTTTTGGCTATTAATTCGATGATTGCTCATCCTTAATTACCTGTCCGGCCGATCGCTGCCCGCGAAACGTGCAAATCACTCTAGTGATGGCTTTTCGTGCCGATAGCATGTGTGATGATGTATTCAGTTTCTAGAAGCTTCTATTAGAGAGGATTACTGTAGAATGAGACACATCATCACACACGTGGCAGAGCAGACTACAAAAAGACTACAAACTACACCAAAAGCAACCGAGGAAAAATAATTGATTTTTAGTGAGATTTTAGTGACTTTCAGACAATTTTCAGCCAAAAAAAAGGCGATTTTCAGGCGATTTTCAGACAATTTTCAGCTAGAAATGTCGATTTTTTAAGTGATTTAAGTGATTTTTTAGTCGAAAAAATCAATTTTCAGCCGAAAATACCGATTTTTTTGGCGATTTTCAGACATTTTTCAGGCAAAATTACCGATTTCTGAGCCTTTTTTAGTGATTTTTAGTAATTTCTAGCTAACGAAAATCAATTTTTTTTAATAGTGATGTTTAGCTCTTTTTTAGTCATTTTCAGACGATTTTCAGCCAGAAATATCGATTTTTAGTTTATTTTAAGTCATTTTAGCCACTTTCAAACGATTTTCAGACACTTTTCAACAGACTACAAACTACAAAAAAAACCCAAAAATCGATTTACCTGATCACCCATCGATTTTCCAGACTTATCAGCTAGTGTCATCATTTCGGTCTCATCGACATCCGCACGACTCATCATTCCCTGCAAAAATGTTGAATTTTTTGAAAAGAGAGATTTGGCGGGAAATTTGAATTTTTTATAATTTTAGAGGATTTTCAGACTTCTTTCTAGCTGAAAATCGTCTGAAAATCGCTAATTTCAGACACTTTTCAACTTAAAATGGCTATTTGCAGATTGATTTCCAGCTATTTTCAGCTCTAAAAATTGATTTTTAGCTGAAAAATTCAAGCATTTTCAGCCATTTTTGGCTGATTTTCAGACATTTCTAGAATCGAATTCTGTCATTTTATCCATTTTTTTGGACAGTTTTGAGCTGAAAACCCTTTGAATTTTTCAGAATTTTTTTCAGAGGATTTTCAGCCGATTTTCAGAGCTTTCTAGCTGAAAATCCACCAAAAATTGCTCATTTTTCAATGATTTTTAGGCTCAAAATTGAGCTAATTTCAGGTTTTTTTGAGGGGGTGTTTTTCGAATTTTAAAATTTTCAGCCAAATTTCAGATAGATTTATAGCTGAAAATCGGCAAAAAATTTTCATTTTTTTGGCTCGAAAATTCTCATTTTCAGATTATTTTTAGCATTAAAAAATAGCGGTTTTCAGCCGTTTTCAGCCGCAAAACTCTCATTTTCCATTGGAATTTTTTATGATTTTTTGAGCGATTTTCGATCACTTTTCGAGCTCGAAAATCGCTCATTTTTTCTCATTTTTGTGCGCAAATTTGCAGTTTTTCGACGCTATTTTTCCATGATTTTTAGCCGCAAAAAGCTCAATTTCAGTCAAATTTTCAGCAGATTCTCGGACAGATTCCTGGCTTTAAATCAGTGATTTTTCACGATTCTCAACTCTGTTTTAGCTTCAAAAATCGCTTAAACATCTCTCTCATAACCCTAAAATGATTGATTTTTCATCATTTTTCGGTGTTTTTTCGACTATTCTCCGCTCAGTTTGGCCCATTTTCAGCCAACTTTTCACGGATTCTCGACTAACTTTCGTTTAGAAAAATCATGATTTTTAAGCCGAAGAATCTAGCCTTCCGTTGATTTTTCTTGATTTTTTTGTGCTTTTCAGTACAAACTGACTCATTTCACATACCGTGTAAAACCTGTATTAGAAGGGCCCCCCCTCTTGGGACCTCACAAGAAAATTGAAGTGCTCCCTCTATTAGAAGGGCCCTTCTAATACAGGTTTTACACGGTATATTTTCTTGATTTTCAGCTCGAAATCCGCCAAGAAACCTTTTTGAGAACACTTCTCAGCAGCTCCTTATCACCGGCATCGGTGACCATAGCGGAATCACTTCTCTCCGTATTCATGATTCCTGGATTCTCAATCGATAGACGACGATGGTGGATGTGTTGGTTCTTCTGGAATTTTCAGAATTTTAGATTCAAAAATTGGTATTTTTGAGCTGAAATTGAGCAAAAAATCTGGAAAAAATCCATTTTTTTGGCTGAAAAACTTCAAAAATTGCTTTAAAATTCGGCATTTTCAGATTTTCATACTAAAAAATTCTCAAATTTTTCAATTTTTCAACATTTTCGGATTCAAAAATTCCGCATTTTTTCAGATTTTTCAACATCAGATTGACAGAAATTATAGTTTTCGGTCGTTTTGGAATCAATTTTACTAGAATTTTAGGCCTAAAATTGCTAAAACTCCAGTTTTCTGACCATTTTGAGCTCAAAAATTGAGTTTTTCAGCTCAATTTCGGCTGAAATTGTTCATTTTTTGACCAAAAAAGCTCGTTTTTCGAGATTTTCAGCTCTAATTTTTCTGAAAAAAAAGCTCGCTTTTCGATTTTAGGATCATTTTAAAACACTTTTTTGGTTTAGAAATCTCACTTTTCGAATCTCGAGAATGATTTTAATCAGTTTATCACAGAAGAAGAATGCGTATACTCCGAGAATCGAGATGTGTGCCATATGGAGATAGGAATGCGTTGGCTTGCCGTTCTCGTCCACTTCGTCCATTAGAGCCGGATGAGCCTGGAAAATTGGTATTTTGGGGGGTATTTTCCAGCTAAAATGAGCATTTCGAGTCCAAAAATCTGTGTTCAGAGCAATTTTCTAACTAAAATGACAATTTTTTGAAGAACTTTTAGTGAAAATTGCGCTTTTAACGACATTTTTAAGCTAAAATCGCCATTCCGAACTGCAAAATCTCGTGTGTCCAGTGGAGCGCGTATACCGTTTACGCATAGAAATCGCCACAAAAAACACCATTTTTGGCGGTTTTTGAGCTCGAAAAATCTGTTTTTAGAGCAATTTTCTAGCTTTTAAAGCCTAGAAATTGCCATTTTCAGGCATTTTCAGTGGAAAACGCGCAAAATTCGGGTAAAAATCAGTGTAGAAAACACAGTTGTCTAGCAAACGCGCTCCACTGAACACGGAGGGCTTTGCAGTTCGAGATTTGAACTGAAAATGGTGATTTTCGAGCATTTTAAGCTCTGAAATTCGGATTTTCGGCTGAAAATTCTAGTTTTGGACCATTTTTTACATCAAAATTGTGATTTTCGGGACTAGAAATGATGGTTTTGACCATTTTTTATACGGAAAATGCGATTTTTCCAATAAAAACCCTTACCTGAGGGAGCAAATGATAGAAACTCGATCCGGACAGTGAGCCGACACCCAAACCGACGAATAGTGTGATTATCTGAAAGAAAAACACCTGTAATAGAAGGAGCCCTCTCAATTATCTCGGTTACTGTAACAGATAGCAAAAAGTGGTCAACTGACAAAATGTAGCTGATAAGGTGATAAACATTTTATCAGTTTATCACTTTTTGATATCTCTTACAGGAAGCGAGATAATTGGGCTCGAAGGGTGATTACAGTAATCTTTCTCACCTGATTATATGTATTCTTCGTGAGATATCGCATTACACCGATTCCAACGACTGCACACATATTGATAAGGGTGACGAACAGTAGACCGATGCCCCAGACTGCAATTAGGGGGTAATTTGCAGATTTCAGCCTAATTTTGGGTGATTTTGAGCGATTTAAGGTCATTTTTTAGCGATTTTAGATCAATATTCGCCCAATTATCACTCAAAAATGTGTTAAAATCGCTAGAAAATCACCCAAAATCGATCTGAAAATTGGCTGAAATCGATCTGAAAATTGATTTTCAGCGATTTTTGAACGATTTCAGCCAATTTTCCGACCATTTTGGGGTTATTTCGAGTGATTTTCTAGCGATTTTAACACATTTTTGAGCGATTTTGACCGGTTTTCATCGAAAAATATCGCTCAAATTGAACATGGACCATTTTGCACGCATTTTGTTCCGGTTTTTTGGACCTCTGTGCATATTTTTCATCAATTTCAGCGTATTTTCGACCTATTTTCAACTAATTTAGGCACTTTTCATAGATTTTGAGTCAACGACAAGCCAAGTCGAATTCAAGTCTTTTCAGTTTAAATTCGAGTCAATTTCCATCAGCTTACGTCAACTTTGAGCTCAATTATCTCGGTTACTGTAAAATATATTAAAAAGTGGTCAACTGATAAAATGTTGCTGATAAGGTGATAAACATTTTATCAGTTTATCACTTTTTGATATCTTTTGAAAGAGCTGAGATAATTGAGCTTAAAGTCGACGATTTGGGTGGACGTCTATTAGAAGAAATACAGTAAGCTGTTGGAAATTGGCTCGAATTTAAACTGAAAAGACTTGAATTCGACTTGGCTTGTCGTTGACTCAAAATCTATAAAAAGTGCCTAAATTAGTTGGAAATAGGTCGAAAATACGCTAAAATTGATGAAAAATATTCACAGAGGTCCAAAAAACCGGAACAAAATGCGTGTAAAATGGTCCATGTTCAATTTGAGCGATATTTTTCGGTGAAAACCGGTCAAAATCGCTCAAAAATGTGTTAAAATCGCTGAAAGATCACTCGAAATTACCCCGAAATGGTCGGAAAATTGGCTGAAATCGTTCAAAAATCGCTGAAAATCAATTTTCAGATCGATTTCAGCCAATTTTCAGATCGATTTTGGGCGATTTTTACTGATTTTCGAGCCAATTTTCTAATTTTTGGCGCTAAAATTCCCAAAATTCCAAAGCCTTTTACCATAGATGGCTGACGGCCTATCGTGTGAATTGACGCCTCCTCCGACATGTGTGATTGCAGTGGATGTGATGTCTTCTGTTTGATTTCGACACAGCTCAGCCAGATGGCCGTATGTGTAGTTGGCCAACGATGTCGACGGGTCCATCATTGGAGTCATGGCTGGAAAAGAGCAGCCAGACTATTTTTCAGCAAAGCGCTATGAGCTTTTTCAGAGGTTTAAAGGGGGGGGGGTGCCATTTTATTAGAGGGTGTGAGCGGGTAAATCGGAGCTAAAATTTTGTCATTTTGCGCTCAAAATGATCAAAATTAGCCTGTTTCAATGAAAAAAATCAAATTTCAACCAAAAAACGCAATTTCAGATCGATTTAAACGAATTGTAGACTACTTCGGGTCATTTTAAGTCAATTTTCAGACTTTTTTGGACCAATTTCAGCCGAAAAATGGCATTTTCTCCTAGAGGAAAATGTCCATAAATCCATCACCCCCATTCTCTTCTGCTTTCTTTTTCTCTATATAGATACGTTTATTTGGCAAACGAAAAAAGAGAGAGAGAGAGAGAGAGAGAGAGAGAGAGGCGCAGAGAAGCAGAGACTGAGAAATGTGTCGGAAATGAAACGGAAACAAATCATCAGGAGGCGAGATCAAACAAATATCTATCAACTTTTATAATTGAAAATCATCATAAAGCTTCCAGAATCTTCCCGATTCTCTTCTGGGAACTTTTTCATCAATTCTGAGGTGCGAACATAAATCTCAAATAGAACAAAAAAAACTGTCGAAAAATGACAAGAGGTTAAACTAACATAGAGAATGGCACAAAGAGAGGAGGGATTGAGTAAATATGTATCGTAGTAGCACAGGTTCAGTGAGTATTTTGAGCTTAAAATGACTGAGAAAAGCTTGAAAACCCCCCAGTTTTAAGTTTAAAATGGCAGAGAAACCAAGATTGATTTCCTATTAAGGCCATAAGGTCAATAGGAATGGTCAGTCTGGGGGGGATCCTCTAGAGTCGACCTGCAGGCATGCAA